AAAAAGCAGCGAGGCTCTGACGCCTTAAACCTGCGCTGCTACATTAAGAGCGAGGGGAAGAGACACAGTGACCTGCAAAGGAAGAAGGAGAGGGGGGGACGAGGTAATTAGAACACTATTTTTATACAATATTGAAAAAATACAAATTTTTATTGTGGTTTTTCTTTTAAACTGATATCACCACCCAGCACTTACTCTACTCCTAAGTAGCACCTACAGTAAAGGTTATAGCACAAGCAGACTGCTAGGTCAGCAGGCAAGCGAGTTAAACAGTGCCAGCAACGCGTGGCCCCTCCCTCCCCAAAGTAATGAGAAAAAACAGCGTGCTAGATAAGAGTTAAGTACACCATTACATGTTAAATAGTTAATATTACCCCTTCCAACAAGCCACAAATGCTAGATAGAGAACTTCAGCACAGTCACTAGCCACAGCCCTACATTACTGCTTTTAAAAAAAAAAAAAAGAGAAAGAAAAAGGAAAAAAAAAAAAGGAGAGGAAAACCTTTGCTTCATGCCCGTAATTAACATAAAGGAAGTTCTTTGTATATTTTTTTTATTAAGGAAAATCATGCTAAAGCAAAATGGTACTTTACGAGTCTCTTTCCTCCAAAAGAAAAAATATATATATAATTGATTGTGCTTTATGAATTCGAAATAGGATTGTAACCTTCCAACCCCCTAAACTCAAAACTCGGTGGCATTTCTAAAGAAAAAACACTTCTGGGAAAATGAAAAGTTACCAGTCTGACATTCAAAACTCTGCTCGAGAGTTGCTCAGGGTGGGTTGATTCCCATGCACTGTCCTGCAGGTTGCCCCACACATTAAAATACCTTGCCCAAACCGCTCAGAAAACCCCAGAAATACAGCAGGTAACATTCAGATTTAAAATCCATCTCAGTAAGAATCTCAAATGCACAATTATCCAAATTCAAGTATACTGGCATCCCAGGTAGACATTTACTGTTTTAGATTCTCTCAGCATTAAACCAAACAAAAATCTCAGCTTGTTGACAGATACCAGGAGAAATCAAACGTTTCATTCAGAAGCATCCTGGAAAAAAAAAAAGATCAGATTCACTTGCTTCCTCAATTGGCGCTTTTAGGCTTTTTTTATTCATCGCAATTTTTTCTAGATCATACTCTGTTAACTTTAAGAAACTTTAATCCTGTTGTACACACACAAGCAGATGGCTACCAAGCTGGTGCAGAAGGGGGGGGGGGGGGGAGGGAAAAAGGAAAATAAAATCAGTGCCGATGGATTCATGGACTACAGCCAATGGGCCAATCCTCGTGGATCTGAAGCTCTCAGCAAGGCTAATCCATCTGGTCAGAGAACCCTCTTAGGAGATGGAGAGTGTTTGCGAGGTGTTTAACCATACTTCAAGCAAGAGAAAAAGCAAACTTGAAGCCATTAAAGGGTAGCAGTTTCAAAACTAAGACAAAGTAAGAGTTTGACTTCACATGTGCTCCAGCTAAATCAAAGCACTGCTTAGAGAGCATTGTTTTTTTGTTTTTTTTTTTTTCCCCTCCGAAAAAGGGAACAGCTCATAATCCAGACCAAGAGAGTGAGTAACATCCAGATGAAGGCTTTCAAAAGTCCCAAAAGCAAACAGACCAGTGGTTGTCAGTCCCTACAGTTCAGAGGGCAGGCAGGAGTCCACATACAAAAAACGGACTTAAAATCCAAGTCAAAATTTAAGCTTCAATGCTCTGAATAGCTCCATGCATTTGTGTTGTTTTTGTTTTAATGTGACTCCACATAAAATATGATCAGCAAGGTTGACCTGAAGGAGCACCTTTTATTTCACTGTCTGATCTACACGGTTAGCATATCATCCCCCAGATTTTTTTTACTTTGAGAAAACGCTGTTCCACGTTAGCATCCAAGGTGGCGTCTTTGGAAACACTGATAAGAAAGCAAACATCTTTGCTGACTCCCTACCTATCAGGGCAGCTGTTTTAGCTGACAGTTCAGTAGCACACAAGTTGACTTGGCCAAATGGAATTTGAATGCATGCATTCGGGCTGCATATTGCTACCAAAATGGAATGTGGGAATATGCTATGCACCTCGGGTTTGAGAAATGACCAAGAAAAATCAAGATCTAAAGGGTGATATATATATATCAATGCTATTATTCATAAAAACCTTGTTTAGTAATAAAAAAAATTGCTTTGTTTAAATATGAATATTATAGTCTGCTTCTCATGGTTAGGAAATTAGAGTCTCTCTGAAAAGCAGGTTGCCTCTTCTACTACAATTCCATATCCTGAGCCTCATCTTCCGAGAAGTCGGACATGGAGCTCTCAGATGAGCTGTCCCCGGTGCCTTCTTCCTGTTCTTTTAGTGCTTCTTCTGTTGCATATTTCTGAATGTATTCTGTAGGTGAGAGAAAAGGTAAACATGTAAGCAGCATATATTCATCAGCTAAACGATGGGTGGCTACGAACTACAACTAACATCCGGTTGAGTAACATGATGCCTGAGACGGCACGTAGCTTAGTTTACAGCAATTAACACAGGATTACTCCATTTCTCTGACCAGGGGCAGCACTGTCTGGTAACTTGTGAAAATACCCGATGAAGACCTTACAGATGCGCAACACCCCGAAAAGAAGTGCAGTCCCAAGGCTCCTATGTCAACAACACGCGCACACACAGAGCTGGAAACAACCGAAGCCCTCCCCAGTATGGTATATCTCACTCACAGTAGTCACAAGGAGGTTACATTCACTGCCAAAATAGGAGCTACCGTGGTGACCTACAGAACAAGCCTAAATGCTATCAAGCAGCAGCTATTCTATACGCTAAGACATGAAGATCTGAAAGGCTGAACTGGTAGTGCAGAACAGCCATCAATGAACCCAAGCTGAGAACCGGACTAAGGAGGAAGAGAAGAAAAACTTGGGACAAAACAGAAGATGAAGCGTTCCCTTTGGCAGGAGAAGGCGAGATCTCCAAGGGGCCTGCTTGCAGACTGGGGCACACCACGGCGGTGGCTTCCCACACCAAGCCAACCCAGCTTTACGCCCTTCCCCAACCCAGTCTGCAATGGCAGAAGCTGGGTGCATAAGCGTAGTGTAAGGAAGGACAGAGAGAAAGCAGAGCAGAAGAGACTGCAGGAATAGCTGCATTTTTTTTTTTTAAATGCAAATCAAAAGCACACCTCCCTTTCCTCTCTCCCCCCAGCCCTAAAATAAACCCCGGCCCACTCCAGGCGCTGCCTCGCAAGCACAAGCCTTGCGAGCTGCTTCCCATCAGACCGCAGCTGTAGGATCAGCCAAGAAGGAGCTGCAGGGAGTCCTCCATAGGGAGCTCCCGGCCACCAGCTCCCACGCACCTACGTCAACACGCGAGAGGCAAACACCCCGGCCAGCAGCGGCTGCCAGAGCACCGCAGGTCACCCAAGGAAACGGCGTCTCACAAGGGGGTCCGAACCGCATTGGCTCTAGGCACCCAGCTCAACACCCTGAACTTCAGCCAGAAGCAAACAGGAAGCTGTACACCAAGCAAGAAAACTGGTTTACTGGGATTCCTGCAGGCAGGTGAAGTAACTCCTGCCAAATGCAGCTTGCGCTTTTTTCCACATTAACTTCCACGCAAAGGGTACAGCAAAAACACAACACGGAAAGCAAATCAAATAAGCTAGATCTGAGGCTCATAATCGCTTTCCTTCTTCCTCAGCTGAAGGAGGCGACCGTACAATCCCCTCCAAGATCCTACAAGGGGCTGGTGTCCCCAGGTATCTGGAGGAGACAGAGCCTATCCATCACGTGCACGCAGGGGGAACGGGGCAGGGGAGAAAACTAATGCAAAACGGCACTAAAGAAGGAGCCAGCCGCCTCAACTTGAAGCCTTTCTCTTACCTATCTTCTGTTCTCAGCCTCATGCCGAGAACACAGCTTCTAGCACGACCACCTGCTGCAACCTCAGTATCCTGACAGCACATCCTCCACGCTGCAGGTCACACGCTCTGGCAAAGGGGGAGTCGTGCTCCCACTGTATCAGCACAGCCAGTAGGGAATTTCAGTTGCTGATTCATTCTCTTTCCAGATGTGAAGGTATAAAACGCAAAGCCTCCTCCAAACAGCTGTATTAAGAAACTGAAGAAAGAGGGAAAGCCACTATCCCTTTGCACTCAAAGATGAGTCCCTGGCACAGAAGTGTGAATGTCACATATCAGTCCCAGCCTCGCGGGCTTCCAAGCTGTATAGTCTTCAATTCCTCCCAGGGAGCAGAAGGGAACGAGGTCTACAAGGACCATCTCTCCTCCAGGAACACAAATCACTGCTTTCTATTCCATACGGCATCAGCAGGTGGATGCACCAACAAAGCTGCAGGAGGACATACCTGATGCCAGATATGTCAGTGCTACAACACAGGCTTTAAAGACAGTGCTTTCTAAAAAGATGAGCTTTTCTTAAAACCATTCCTCTCCTCTTCTGCACTTCCACCTTTCAGTCTAGTGGAAGGGGCAATATTCTGCAAGAAGTCTGCAACAGCAACGCGTTTTCTCCACATTTTGCAGCTGACATAGGGACACAGAGAGCCGAAATGATTACTCCAGGGTGAAGAGTATGGTACAGACAGTGACCTGAAGCCAAGGCTTCATGGAGGAGATCACAGGATGGGGTGCCCCGCGGTCCTGGCAGAAGTGCTCTGCACTGGACAAACGCTGTGCCAGAGCTGGCCAAAAGGTACTTCTGAGCCCAGTGAGCTTGAGCATCTGGATCTAATGACACACACACAGTTTCAGTCTGTTTAATATACGTTATTAACCTGCTTGCTCTGACTACAGGAGCAGCTGTTCAAATCTGTTTTGCAAGAACTTGCAAGACCTGATAAAGTATTAAAGCCAGCTATGTAAACAGTCGGAAGCGCGAAGCACTCAAGGCCTCTCTACGCAATGCAAAGAGATGCAGATCGCTGTCAGGCTTTTGGAGCGCACATAACACCAACAGGGAGGCTCTCTTGTCCTTAATCTTGGCCACAGAGAACCGTCCTCTCAGAAGAGACTGTTTGCCTGTATTACCACAGTGCCTCGGAGACACACTCAGGCCGGGCCTACCTGTACAAGAGCAGAGAAGAAGGGTTGCAGAGGCTAGGCAGGAACCATCTGCCAAAAGAGACAGACACTGAAAAAAGGAGAAAAATTGGCATGAGAGTCCTAGTGGTTTAATGACGACAAGAATAACTGATGGAGGGACATCAAAGAAAAGCAATGTGCTTTTAGAGAATTTTACATGGGAAGGTGGGTGGGCAGAGACAAGCAGACAAGAGATGGGCTGCAAACGGGGTATATCTTTATAGTGGCTACTCCCTTCCTGTAGCTTTCCAGGAAGGGATCCCTCTCCCAACTTAGCTGGGTAAATACCACTTTTTGTTACCTGCACAATCCAGCAAAGGGAACCCAAGTTTCTCTTCTGCAAGACCTAGGATACCCCTGGATGACAGAGGTAATCCCTTACAAACGTTATAAACGTCATAAACGCATCCACTCTACAGTTACCCCAAACCCACCAAAATAACAGCTGTAGCTTCCTCAGGAGTTCCTAAACACAGGAGCCACGAGCCACTGAAGAGGGCAGAGCAGAAGGCCAGCAGCTCATCTTCACTGCCTACTTCAAGTGCTCTCTGGGCCACTGGCGATTCAGACATGGAAGTCACCGTTTCTTTACTACTGGAAAAGGCCGGCTTGAGCCTGAATTATTTATGCCAAACAAACGTGACCTGAAGCACTTCAGATCTAAAACGCCATCCTCTACCCAGGCAAGCTACCGAGGCCCTGGGCTGGGCCTTTCTGAAGGTGTCATCTGAGAAAGGTCAAACTTCCAAGGAGCTTTTGTGTTGAATGTTGTATTGGACTTGGATCTTCAGGCTCTGAAGGGAAGAGCATCCGAAATACCTAAATAATATTGACAAATCATCTTCCACAGAAGCCCATTCACAGTAAGAAGGGAAAGCCTCGACGCACCCATTCCTACCAGAGAAATACGGCTTTGATTCCGCTGCGTTTAAACCCTGGAGCAACATGAACAAGCTGTGGTTATGCCCCGTGGCTGGCACGTGCCTGTGAGCCATACTGGCTTCTCAGAGGGCTCTACTGGAACTTTATAGCAGTAAGCAGGATGGAAGAGCTGCTCCCAGAGACACCCTCCGCTCCCAGCACGAACGCTCGGCCTGCACAGTGCCCTTACCGCACTGCTTTGATCGATGGCACTCACCACCCCCGTTCCCCAAAAGCAGTTTTCATACTAGAGCTACCAAAGAGATGGCAAAAGCAGCATACGTGGAAGTTAAGCAACAGTTCTCAGCAGCACGGTAAAAGCTAATGCTGAGCCGTCTTTCCATATTTGAGACTCATCCACAAGCTCTGTACCAGTAATGAGGCAGGCCACCTTGCTCAGGACGGTCAAGGAGATCTTAAAGGATCACTTGGCTCTGTGGCCACTAGATTACTTAATACTGAAGCCTTCAGCTAGATCAAGTATTACATCTTCCACCTGCGTTCTCAGTAATATTAACAGATACCTGCAGGTCCCATGATAAATCCTTACTAGTTCGGGCCTCGCGTAAGAATCACAGTGACTACAAACCTTGTGCCATATTTGTCCTAAGCCTAAGCCTGTTTCTTCACTAATGTTACGTCAAACGACTGTTCTATGGGCTCATAACTAAAAAATGAGGAAAAGAGGCAATAAATTATGTATTTGCGACACTGAATTTCCCAGCGCAAAGAAGCTGCTACAATCCACTGCATCAATTTTAACATGTCCAAGGTTATTTTTAAAAAACACTATGACTATGTTTAGCTCTACTTTATAGTTGTCACGCAAGCCTGGGAAGAGACAGCAGAGGAAGACTCTTGGGCATATGGAACATGAGATAAGTTGCAAGTACTTAAAACTCCTTCCAGATCATCTTCACCACCTGTACCTGACTGTCAGGAGGAAAACAAAGGAGCAGACTAACCCCTCCTCGAGGCTCCCTCAGTAAAGCCTCACAGCTTTCTTGAGGCATCTGCTGTGGGCCAGCATCAGTCTATATCTTCCAGAGTGCTTCTTTTATTTCATTAAGGCGTAGAGGCCACCCAAAACGCCACTCATGCTGGCCCTAGACATTTTATCTGACAAACCATTTTGCTTGGAAGTCTGTTCATATGGAAAAAAAGGGAAACAGACTTCAGGATACTGAACTGGCCAGATCTGCAGGATAATTAATTGTATGATCCCGTCATGCAGCTGACACAGGAGTCAAGCAAAGCGGGCCAAATAACTCCGATAAATACAGCTTTGCCTGGCCTCACTTGTAGTTCCTCCCTCAAAAAAAGAAAATTACAGCTGATTAAGAGTCACTTAGCATTAGAACAAAGAGACTCGAGGTTTAACTGCTCTGGAGTGATGTGGCAGAACTGATGACAGGACTCCACCACCAAGTCCCACGTCTTTCTGGGATACCTGTGCTGTCTGAACACGAGCGAGATTTCACAACGCTCTGTTAGGAAAGCTGCTACCCCATTTTACACCGGGAGGAAGACTACTGGATCATGCTTGCTCATGGAGGCTCCCCTTGTTGAACAGGCCCTGCAAACCTTTCTGGCAGGGCTCCCACAGACAAACAAGTCGTATGGTTATTCAGTAACCAAAAAAAAAAATCAAGTGGTCATGGTCTCTATTAAAATCCAAGTTGTAGACCAAATCTAGGCCAAAGGCTGTAAATTACCAGCCACTGGATTAAACGTCGATCACGTTCACTGGATAAGGTGAGAGAAAGTCCATGGCTTTGCCGCAGGCTTATTGCCTCAGGAAACAGTGCTCTGGTCCCGTTTGTATAAAGCTGATTCTAGGGAAGCAGAGCACCAATTTAAAGGGCAATTCTTATTTTTCTGTTCTATTTCCTATTTTCCATAGGCAAAATGATAAAATTAAATTATCTCTCTTATCAGTCCTAGGACAGTCCTTTCATTCCCAGTATTATCAAAGGCATCTGAAAGTCCTTACCAGGACCCTTCCCTGATCCCAAGGGGGTATTGACTCCAGTTATTCCTCTGGCCTAACTTATTCTTCAAACCCTTCCAAGAGCAGACACTCCAGCACCCTCACAAGCTCTGCCAGTGCTTACCTGTCCTCATCAGTCACTGTTAATGTTTAGCCTCAGTTCCCCCTAGCTGAAGTTATAACCCTGTGACCAAATCCTGCTCACAGTGAACACCAAGGGTAAATCACTCCCTTCCTCTCTGAAGGCACCTTTGACACTTCAGAGCTCACAGCCCTGCTCAGTTCTCTAGATCAAACTCCTCCAATTCTTTCAATTTCTCCTCTTAAGACACATCTTCCAGACTACCCACCCTTGTTACACCCTTCCAGATGTTTTTAATTAGTCTACAGCTTTCTCAAATAGCAGTTCCTGAACTGGGCCCAGCCCTGGTAAGCCTTAGCTGGAGTGGGCAGCAGCAGCAAAGGATTACTTGGGGTTTACTGAAAATTCCTGCTCTGTCACAGTACAAGAGTGACTGTTGCAGAGAGCACCACCGATTCCTTGACAGCTGCTCTCAGACCACTTTCCACAGAACTGCAAACAAGCTGCTTTCTATCCAGTACTTGGGCAACCGGATATTCCCATTTAAAGTTTAGCATTTTCACTCGTCCTTTCTTCAGCTGCGTACCTTTTCTCCTCAATAGTTTCTCCAGTCTGTCAGGATCGTGCTGAATCCTAACTCAGTTCGCTTAGAGTCCTCCCCGCTGAGCCTCAGCTGATGATTTAGAAAGCCTGCCCCACACGCTGCATACAGCAGCTTCCTCCCGTCAAACAGTAACAACACATCCACCCCTTAATTAAGGCTACTCCCATTTAAAATGAGCAGGGCCCCTGTAACAGGAAGGAAGAGTCACAGACACACTCATCTGCAGCAAGGACAGCCCCCATTCACCCAAGTGGAATCACAGCAATGCTGTTCATTCTGCAACATGCTGTTTATGTCCTTACCTTTAATTTTCTGTTTGTACTCTTCTGGCCGGTGGAGGTACATGGCTGCAGCGTCACCATTTAGAGGATCTATAGGGTTAGGATATGCCAGCAGCTGGGGCAGGAACGATTCAAATATATTGGTGAGATCTGCAAGTAAAAGACACCGTTGTTCATGTCCGCAGACCCACAGTCAGTCCGGTTAATCTTCCGGCAAGTGCTGTCACAGCAGCACAAAGCTTCAAGGGCAAATATACCGAAAATCTGGGCTCAAGTTAAAATAAAGGAAACAGCATCAGAGAAAAGCACACATACGGCTGATGAGCCTCTGCTGACACTGCAGCCCTTCTGCTACCAATCCCAGCCTTCTCCACAAACTGCTCAACACCCCACAGGTACAGACATCCATTTTAAGCAAAGTGGAAGGAGGCAATAAGCTTGTTTCCCAGTGATGCTCATGTGCTTAGCCCTGTCTTAAAAAGAAAACACCCTGCTTCTCCCCTTCAACTCCAGCCTTGCACCAAATTCCTCTCCCACTTCTGCCTCCTCCTATCACCACCTTTAAATACTTTATATTCCATGAATACATCAACAAATCTCAAAGCGGGGGGGGGAAGAGGGGGAACATCTCCCAGAGAGCTTTATATGATTGTGTTAATAGAAAGAGCAACCAGCAAGTCCCTCCACATTCTGTGAATTGTTTTGAATTGGAGAAGAGATCACATTAACACCTTGGTGCCAGTTGGCATCTGTCACTAAGTAGTCCACAACAGGAAACATACTTCTGGTGTGGATGAATAACCGGGGATGCACGAAACCCTCTTCCTGCATCCCTAAGAGAACAAATACCATACTCCGGCAGTGGACGTGTTAAGGAATGGGCTTGCGTCATTCCTTCCCGAGCGCTTCAGAAGGACCACGCACACTCACCCGGAGCAGAGATTAAGCCCCCAGTGTGGGGCAAGGAGGGTTGTGCGTGTCATGTCCCACTTCAGTCATGGGAGAACTGCAGACACAGGCAGACCAGCCTTTGCTGCAATTTTTTTCAGGTCTGCTTTGACTATTCTGCACATCTTTTATCAGATGCCTCTTTCCTCCCCCATTAAATGAGGCATCTCTTTCCTGATGGCAGAGGAATCCTGCCTACCACAGAGCACCCTTGTCCCCTCTAGCGCCGACTGAAGCAGAGCTCTCGGGAGGGAAGCCCAGCACTCCCTACGATTCGCCATGCGAGTGAGGGGCAGTTAAGCCATTTTAACCTGCCTCCCGCAGGAGGCAAGCCCATGAGACTATTGCAGAGCGTGTGTCAAACCACCGTGGAGTCTGCTCAAACTCAACCAGCTCTGGCAGAGGACAGGCTACAGCTCGGAGCTCTGAAGTCTCTAAAAGATTCATGAAAATGGGTGTGCAGATAGGGGAGGGGAACCTCCTAGCGCTGCCCCTCTGCAAACGGTTGCCTAGAGACTTGAGGCCTGGTTCACAACCATAGAAAACCTGGCTCTGATGCCATCGCTAACAAAGATACAGGCTCAGAGGAGCTATGCAGTACATCCCGGCAGATCTGGCCACTGCCTGAACTTTATGTCCTTTCCAGATCTACCAGCGTGCATGCTCTCAGAAGATGCTCATTTGATACTGCTCAAGAAGATCAAAGACGACTGTGGACATCGTCAGTTCCTCCCTCTTGCACCAACACATCCACAGGACGTGTACACACCAGGGTACGACTGGCATCCACTCAGCATAAACCTTGCCAAGCAGGAGGGAAGGCCATGGCTTTATCTATACTCAGGAGCACAGGTTCACTATAGCTGATTTTAAGCAACAGATAACAGCTGCCTGGTCTCTGCTATACAGGGACTTCACTAAGAAATCGGGTGTTTTTACTCTGAAACCTCTTTCAGTCATTGGAAGCTGTTGCCCCTTCCAATACCAGCAGAGGACAGAGACAAAACACTTTACAGCACACACAGCTATCTCAACCGAGTTTGGCATGGCTGGCACGCTAAGGAACCGGGTGCCCCCAACCATGTCTGAGATGAAGCAAAACAACAACTGGAAGAAGGATTCTAATCCAAAAAAAGGACTGCAAAAACAGTTTGATAATGCTCTGTGAGATTGCTTTCTGCCAGAGTCTTGGAAGTGGTTTGTCCCTGGCAAACCAATTAACCACCCT